GATTTTCACTGAAGTTCTCAAGATTTTTCTGAAGTTCATAAAACTTCCCTTTAATTATCGACACTAATTTAAAACTTCTTCAATAATCTAGACTTTCCTGGTGCCTAAACGATTACTGAATTTCTTTAAAGTTCTCTAGACTGTCCTGAATTTATCAGTAGTTTTTAAGAACTCGCAACTTTACTGAAATTAATTAATTTGCCTTGAAGTTTCGAAAACTTTCCTTAAGTATTATAACCATTATTAACACTCGCTAATCTTCCCTGAACTTATCTATGCTTACCTGAAGTTCTCTAAATTTATTTAATAATCCAGCAAATTTTCTGTTATATATTCATAGTTCCCTGACGCTTCTGACGTTTTCGGATCAATCATAGAATTCTTGAAATACCCTATAATTCGCTGCAAATTTGCTTAAGTTAATGGGATTATTCTGAAGCTATCTGATCGTCCTCGAAGTACTCGGAACTTCGCTGAATATCATTAAACTATTTAAAAATATCTAAATTTAGTTCTCGAAGATATCGCTGCTTGCTAAAAGTTCTCGCTTTTTTATCAATGGAACTTCGATGATGTTCTCAAATCAACTTATCTAAATTTTTGCATTTTTTTTAAGTTCTTGAAATCTCCATGACATAACACCCTTAAAATACTCTCACTTTTTCCGGATGTTCATAAAATTTGTATCACGTTCCAGGAATTCTCTCGGAGCTTTGCTGAAGTTTTCGGAAATTCACTGAGTTTCTCGAAACATCTTTAAGGTTTCTAATATTTCCTTGAAATTATTTGAACTGCCCTTTGATTCTCTGACCTGTCTTGATGCTCTCGAAGCTTCCATGAAGCTCTTAGTTCTATTGACGATCTCGGTTCTGCTCGGAAATAAATAGAATTCCCGTAAACACATTGAAATTTCCCTGAAATTCTCTGGAATTTTGTGAAGTTTCTGAAATATTTCTGAAGCATTCATAATTTCTCTGAAGGTCTCTGTGCTTTCCTGAAATTCACGGAACATCTTAAGGGTTCTCGATTTGTTTTCCAGCACATCATGGAACTATGTTGAATTTATCTAAAATTAAGATTATAGATTTTAAACTGCTCTTAAGATCGGAAATTCCCCAAAGATTTCTAGATACCGCTTTTTTGAAGTGCTTAGAACTTCTTTGCACAATACCCCTCAAGTTTTCTTAAATTTCTCAAGTTCGCTTGACACCTGTGAAGTTCTCTGAAATTCTAGGAACTTCATAAAAATTCCTGAAAAGTCTCGGATGCTAAAAGAACCGCTTTGAGGTTCTTACAGTTTCCAGTAACTTACTTAAGGATCCTGTGCACCCCAGCGGTGCAAAGGGCCAACGTGAAAGACTTCCATCCTGAGCGGCTGCTCACTTTTGTCTTGACCTGGGCCCAGGTCAGATTCCTATCGACTTGCTTAATTTCCTTATTGAGGCTCCGCCGCCATGAGCCCCTGGGTCTGCCTCTGCTGCGATGTCCTGCCGGATTCCAATCCAGCGCTTGCTTGCAAATTTCGTTTCCGCCCCGTCGAAGTGTGTGGCCGACCCACCTCCACTTTCGCTCTCGAATTTCTGTTGCTATCGGCTTCTGATGACATCGACGATGGAGCTCGGCATTCGAGATCCAGTTGTGAGGCCACCAGGCACGAATTATATACCGCATGCATCGGTTGATGAAGACCTGCAGCTTTTGAGTGTTCTCCGCTGATACACACCACGTCTCGCTGGCGTATAACAACACAGATTTCACGTTCGAGTTGAAAATTCGGATTTTGGTGAGTTGACTTATCTGGTTGGATCTCCATACGTTTCGTAAACTCGCAAAGGCAGCCCTAGCCTTCTTGATTCGTGCACCTATGTCGCTCTTGGTCCCGCCGTCCGACGCTATTTGGCTGTCAAGATATTGAAAACTTTCGACCTTCTCCACTGCTTGCCCCGCTACCGTAAAGTTGGAAGGGTTGCCCGTGTTGATATCCAACGATTTGGTCTTGTTGACGTTGATGGTGGGACCCGCCGCAGAGGAGCGTTCGGCTAGGTCATTGAGTTTACTCTGCATATCAGAGCGCCGTTGTGCTAGTAGAGCAACATCATCAGCCAAATCGAAGTCGTTGAGATGCTCCATGGTGATAGGCTGCCAAAGCAGCCCACGGCTCGGTACACGGTCAATTGCACCTACCATGATCTCGTCGATTACGATGAGAAACAGTAGCGGTGATAGTATGCATCCTTGTCTCACACCAGCGACTACCCGGATAGGGTCGGACAAGGCTCCGTTATGCAGAGCTCTGCACGTGAAAGCCTCATACTGCGCTTCGATGAGGTTGACGATTTTATCAGGGACTCCCTTGCGTCTCAGGGCGCCCCACAGATTCTCGTGATTGAGACGGTCGAAAGCTTTTTCGTAGTCAATGAATACCAAATAAAGGGACTCTTGGAATTCATTGACCTGCTCCAGGATGACAATATGGTCCACACAAGATCTTCCGGCACGGAATCCTGCCTGCTGCCGTCGGAGAGTCGCGTCGATCTTCTCCTGTATCCGATTCAGGATAACTTTGCACAGAACTTTGAGAACAATACACAGTAACATGATGCCTCGCCAATTGTCGCACACAGTCAGATCCCCCTTCTTTGGGACCTTCACTCAGATGCCCTGCATCCAGTCGGCCGGAAATGTAGCTTTCAGTAAGTTTCCCAAATTTTCAGCGTGTTAACTTCCCTTATGTTCCTGCAGTTTGTTCTCAGCATTTCCTTTCATTCCTCAGAACTTCTTCAAAGTTCCTACAATTGTTGTAAAGTTAATGGGACTACAATGAAGATCTCTATTCTTTCATAAAGTTAATTACGAACATGAAATAAATCATTTATTTTTATACTTATTCCTGGCACTTTGAATATTTTCAATATCTTGAACTTGTACATGGAATACGGAAGTTCAAGACATTGAATATTTTTAGATCTTGGACTTACTTACTTGGAAAACTCAGGTAATTTTATCCAGAAAAATGAGTACACAACGCAAAGAATAATCAATCTTGAAATACCTTATGACTTATTACAAGAAAAAGAGGCTTAGTGACTGACTTGAAAAAAGTGACCAAGTCTGTAAAAAGTGACTCGCTACCAGCCCTGCTATGTGTATGCTATTGATGATGATTGAAGAATATTGCAAAAACAAGAAGAATCCGAATTGAGTGACGGTGTCTTGAGCCTTAATGTACTGCTGGTGCTTTCCCAAATAAAGTTTTAAAAAAATGGGTTCTAAAATCTTTAAAAAAAATACTCTACGAAACCGAATGAATTTGACATAAATATTCAATATTGTTTTCAGATGGAGCGGTTCAGTTTCAGGCGGAGGTGTAAACAGTTTAGCTGATCATTCCTGGGAGGCGATGTTGCGTGTAGTTCTCGTAAAAACTTTTCCCGTTCCCGTAGCTCTTTTCTCTCTTCATTTCTATTTTGTTTTTGGAAGCCTGCTATTCAGCCAATGACGTATATATAAGACCAACCGGCAACTTGCTGGTTGTTGCGTATGCAATGAAATAATATACAACCTTTTGGTTTGGTAGTTAGTATAAGGTTGATTTATAAACTCTGACTCGCGAACATCTCCCCCCTAATAGATGTCGTAGAGCTCAAAGTGGGATGGAAGACGTCGTTTCCTGCCAGATGGTTCTCGGGCTTGTTGTAGTCCTCTTTTCCGAACAATCCGCTTATGCTCAGGAACACTTCGAGATAGCTCTGATGGTCCTGGGATGTCTAAAACTGAAGGTGGGCCCGTTAATGGTACAGGTAGTACTTCTTCTAATGGGCCAATATCTGCTTTTGCGTTAGAACTGGGGTTACTGTATCCATATCATAGGGAGACTTGATTCCTGATTTTATAAAATGCTATCTACTAAATGATATCTACTATTCAAATATGTAAGATTTTCTTTCATAGCAATTGTTTCAAGGTGCACTTCAATTAGATAAATGGATGCAAAGTCTCCTACATACCTACCCTATATTATCGCCGACTTCCGTAATTTTTACCAAAATCTCAACAGCTGAACTGTTCGGTAAGTTTTAGGTAGTTCAGTTTAATTGGATTAAAGTTACAAAAAACGAAAACTCCTTTACAATAACAAGATTTGAACTTTAGACGCTGAGGTTGGATGTGATTTGAAATAGACACATTCTACGTTTTTGATAGTTTTTTGTTCTGCAACTGAAAAAATAAATAAATTAAAAGTAACCCCTAAATATTATTGCAGATTTGGAAAGTGTGCTAAATTTCCTATAAGAATTGAATAATAGTTTCAGATTTGAGTAGCTAAACACGTTTTGGTGAGTAATTGTTGAGTAGTGTAGTTGATAAGTGCAAAACGTATTTTATTTTTCGAACGGGATTTTATTCTTCGAAATCCCGGGAAAAATTTCAAGATGCCTAAAACTTACTAAATTTCCAAAAAAGAATGCCTTTATGCAATATCGAAGTTTGAGAAAAGATTTTAGAACTAAAAATTGGACATGTTTCAGTCTTAGTTGCTCGCTTTCTACTCTCTATATTCAATTTTCACACTGCCGTACTCTAACGGAAGTGTTAATAAATTCTTGATCAATTCTTTTAGGAAATTTTTCACACTTTCCAAGTCTGCAATAATATTTAAGGGTTACTTTTATTTTTTGTGAAAATACAAAAACTGTACAAACAAAATTAGACAGAAACGCGGATACATCCTGGTAGAGAGTGCCAATTATTTTTTGAGAAAAATAGGCTTTAAAATGAAGGTCAAAGTTAAACCGAACGTTCAGCCGTTGAGACTTCAGTAAAACATTACCGAACACGACCGAGTGTGTATACGTCCATCATCACAGCGACGACAAGAGCATCGATCACGCTGCAGACAAGGATCTAATACACAATAATGTCGACCCCGCAAACTTGCTTCGCAAAGCGCTTGGTGTTCGCTGCGATATAAGAAAAAATATGTGCAATCAAAAACATACCTTCGATGTACTTTTCCAACGACTTGGGAACCATCGTCTTAATCTTGGAAATGTCTTCGACAGTGCACTTTCCTTTGTCTAAACCTGTTAGGAAGAAACACAAAAAGGTCACCGTTTTAGTTTCATCATCGCCGTATTTCCACACCAATCCGTACCTAGCAACAGTCCCATCCGTTTCAGCACCTCCAGATCGTCATGTATCTCGAATGTATTATCGAATTTGAACGAAAATTCCGATCTGTGGGATAAAGAGGGCAAACATCGTCATTATTGAAAAAGAAAACCCTTCGAGAAAACCGCGCACTCACTTGTCGTTCGAAATACTACAGTTGATGTAAGTCTTCTTATCCGTATTAACAATGATGAATGGCAACTGGATGGCGGAGCTCGGGTTCGGCACCAGACCTCGTTCTTCGTTTTCCTGATTCCGGGCGACGAGCGACTTGAACGCCACGTGCTGCAGAATCAGTTCGCGCAGCTGTTGCTGCTTCAGCTCGATCCGCTCGCGCGCCTTCTCGTTTTCCTTCTCCAGATCGTCGCACTCCTGTACGCTGCTGGTGGGCAGTCCGTGCCAGCGGATTTCCTTCTTCTCCTTGGAAATGATGTTCATCGCCATCAGGACATTCAGGGCATCGTACACCCGCCGGCGGATGTTCTTCTGATCGTACGAAGCCGGATCCACACCGGGATGGCTTTGGGTTTCTTCGGCGACCAGCTCGTCCGCCACTTCGTTGTACGTGGTTGTGCCCTTTTCCTTCACCTTTTCGCAGACCTTCATCGAAAAGTGCCGCAGCCCGCGGCCGATTTTGTCGGTCTTTCTCCGGCGCGAAGCCGGTGTGTGAATCTGACTGGCGGCGGCGGCTTTCTTGCCATAGTTGTTGTACTGTGGTTGTTGGTGCTGCTGGTGTTGTTGAGATCCTTTTGCGTTGCTGTGGGTGGGTGTTGCCACAGCGGGCGGGGGCACCGGTTGCGAAACGAAAGAAGTCGATAGAACCGGTGTTGAGGTGCTGGTCATCAGGTTTGTGCTCATGAATGACGTCGACGGGGCGGGTGCTCCGCTTGAGGTTGATGGCGAAATCGAAGTCGAAGGCGCGAGCATGGCCGTTAGATTTCGGCCGGAAATGGGTGAACCTGTCAGCTGTCCGGGACCCGCAATCAACTTCAGCTGACCCTGTTGAGGAAAGAAGACGAAGGCAAAGGGCGATTAGGAATGGGCGGGTATGACGAGCTATCGGACGACTTACCAACTGTGACGGTGAGATTCGGACCAGTGGTTTCCCATTGATGCCTTTCGCTGCGGGTGAATTTACGATCTGCAATTCTGAAAAAGAGATACGTCGGCATCGGTTAGGTGCCTCATGCGTTTGAGTGCCTTATAATACGTACTGTTTGGATTATTCACTGTGATGAATTTCTGACCCGGCGCGAGCTTCTGCATAACAGGGGTGGCAAAAGTCTGCAAAGAAAGGAATGGGGAACATAATCGAACGAGATATAAAACAGGTTCAGCGCGAAGAAAGTCGAAGAAAGACGACTGAGAACGTCAAAAGCGCGAAAATATTTCGGCTGCAGCATACAACAAACAAGAGGCATGATTCATGAGAGTCGATTTTGTGACGTAAAAGAATGAGTCGAGCACGTTTCCGACCTCTGCTTGCTGCAATGCGATACCACAGATAAGCTATTATAGCATCGGGATCGGCGTTAGGAGATTCCTGTCATCTATTTATTTCTCACTGCTGCTGCTGCTCATGATGATGAAGGGGTGGTGGTCGTAGCGGCGATGGCAATTAACTTCCCATTCAAGTAGGTGGCTCGGGCTCACGATTTAGTATACGAACACAGTGCGGGAACGTCGTGTTCTCCCGCATTGTTGTTGTTTCCCAAAAAAAAAATGACCCATACCGCAAAACAAGGTAGAGCGAGCACGCGAGAATCTGTATAGTTGTAAAAGGGAAAAATTGTGGGAACGAGAGCGAGAGTATGCAGGCAGGAGAAGAAAATGCATTTCGTATGCACCACGCGGAGCACAGCATTTAATCGAATGTTGTTTTACACGCGCGCGCCTTCACGACGAATCGAGTGAGATAACTCGCGGTGGCTGACTGTGGCCGTATGCCTATAGTCACTGCAATGTACCTACGTACAACACACCGGAAGGCGGGACCCAACGATGACTATATACGACGGACGAACGGCGATGATGGGGGCTTTTGACAAGTGCCTAGGCATACAACACACAATACAAATGCGTAAAGAGGTAGGTAGGGCAGCTACTAACTTTGCGACCGACGCCTATCGGATGTTAATTGGCGTATAATACAATCATGTCCAAGTTTTCTTTCTTCAGCGAAGTGGATCTTTACGACTTAAAATAATGGATCCTAAAGAACGAATGGTTTTGAAATTGGGTTCGTTAGAGGTAAATGCATATTTGTAATCTGAATACAAAATTCAGCATCATAGCGCCCCTCGATGGGACTTTGTATGGGAAAAAATATGATTGTGCTCATAAAACGAAGCTCTTTCAGATGATTTATAATAAGAACAAAATTAAAGACCTCAATTCAAGCTGAACATACAATACATTCCCAGGTATTTTCAGCACACAGATCGATAAAAGAAACTTTTATCTAGCATCTAATACGACAACAAGAAATGGTGATTTGCTCCAGTTATTAACGGAAGAGAATCGAACACTGTTACTTAGGAGCTAATCCAATGTTCAGCTTGAATTGTTATCAGTCCAGAACTTGTTACAGCCAACAACCAATGATTTAACTAGTCCCGGACTGATTATTTTTACTGTTTTTACCTTTTTCCTTCAATTGCAATTATATTAACGCACTAATGTACCCCTATCATCACTCTCAACTATGGTATGGTCGTGATACCTTGAAAAGGTAATCGGTAAGGCGACGGGAGGTGAGTTTGATATGACCTTTTACCAGCTATCATGCTTTGGTAGTTGAGCGGTTCCACGAACAAGTGGGAAATTTTTCCAGTTTTTATTTTTTGTATTTTTTGATTTGCATGAAACCTTGCATACAAGTTTTTGGGGAAGAAAAACGCCGTTTTGCATACTTGGTTCGCCATTTTGAATCTAGCCTTACTTATGAGAAGGGCCTATGAAAAATGCACATGATATCTTCAAAAAATTGTATCTCGGAAACGGTTTGTCCGATTGGTTTTGGGTCTTGGGCGAAGTTTTTGACAATTGTTGGTGTTATATGGAGAAAATATGCACGGTAAAAAAAAAAGTTTGGTATTTGTGTTTTGAACTAAAATATAAATTTTCGCTTTAAAGTGACATGTCAATAATTTTTTTATTATCCTTATGTTATAGCTGACTAAAAATGCTATCTAATACACAGTAGGCTGTTCTGGAGAAAAATAGGTTACGATGAAAAAAATTGTTTTTTAAAAAAATACAATTTTCAAAAAAGCTATTAAGAAAAGTCAAAAAAGTTTGTCACCCTAATTTTATGAAAGTACATCAAATTTGCAAACAAAAAGTACTTCGGTAACATTTTTCTAAGATGCACCGTTTAGAAGATATTACTGATTTAATATTGTTTTTTTTTGATAACTTAATAAGTTTTGGCCCTTTTCGGATGTACTCCGTGTTTTTCCAGTTTCAAAAGTATTTTTTTCGGAAAGATTGGAAAATTTTGAGTTAAAATGACACTGACAGCTTAAAGATTCGAGTGAAATTCTCTGCCTTAATAGTATTTTGAAAAACAAGTTACAAAATCCCACTATCAGGAACAATGATTTCTTCAAATGATTTTTGGTGCGTTGTGCTGAAAACGTGCTAACAAGTATTAGATACAGGTAATCAGATACCAGTTAGCTGTACTACGTACAGTTGGTGATTGTAAACATGGTCTTTGTTGGAACTAGTCCACCATGGCCACGCTGGCCATAACGAGGCTAGCTCCGTCGTTGACCGTTCCTTAATAATAAATAAAAAGAACGCAGTAGTCACCTTCCATCAAACTAGAGGGCTGCCGACTGATACCTCAATCAACAACCGCCGCACTCTTTATTCATTCCAGGTATATACAATTTACAATCTTCTTCAATAACAATATACCTACGCCAGCAAATCTACCTCGCTCCAACTCTCCAAACTCGTACCTGAAGGTTCGACGATACCTGAGCGTTCGACTCTACCTATCTTTCAACAGTCTTTACCCAGCATTCTATGATTTCTACCCGTGAGCTGTATAATAATGTCTGACTCGGTTCTGAATTCATCCAGTATCTACTAGGGAAAACCAAACAGTAAATGCAGAAAGGTTGCTAGTAGCATAGTGATTATAGTAATTTCAGCTCATAATCCTGTGTTTTTGAACGAGATCCAGTGTTGTTTGATAACATAATAATTGTAAAGGAAAGTGTAACACGTTTTGGTGCAAAGGTAATGTATGTTACATTTTAATTATATGTTTTGTGATATTTTCGTACAAAACTAACAATTGGAAAATATTTTCTGTTACAGATTACAAAATGAGTAAAATAAGATGTATTCGCCCATTCAAAGACATTCAGTGTTCGAAAGAGCTGCGATATCTCACGGATGGTATCATCCAAAAACTAAAATCAATTGGATTTTCCAAGGTATCCACACTGAACACCAAGGATTTTCGTGTTTGTTCGTCTTGCCGTCTACATATTGATTCAAGAGCTCACCTCACCCAAAACGAGGAACAAAGCGTAGCCGGCGGCTCAAGGATGCCAACTGTTCAGACCATACCTGATGTACCTGATCCGCAAAGCTATGAAAGTTTGGTCACAATACCATCAGAGTCAACGCTAAGCACAATTAAATCAAATGAAGACTTCACGATGCCTGTAGACGTCGAAATATTCAACCGAGGAATAGCAGCTATTCGTGTTTCGCCTATAGATTTAGGTAAGGTTAAAAATGTTCACTATCCTGAAAAAAAGTGCGCTGAAATCGTCGAAGGTGTACGAAGAAATCTTTTTAAATTAGACGCTGAAACAGAAAAAGCAAACGAGTTTGATGAAGTCATAGAAAATATGAAAATTAAATTTTTAAATTCAGCCACAAGGCAAGAAAAACTATCAATTTTATCATTGTTGCCAAAATCATGGTCAGTACAAAAAATTGTAGACGAATTTAAAACCAGTAGAAATATGGCATCAGATGCAAGAAAGGAAAGAGATAATGTATTTGATTCATCTCAAGGTTCAAGCTCTGGAAAAGCTTTGAGTAATGAAACAAAAGAACTGGTTTTGAATTTTTTTTGAGGACGATGATATAAGCCGTGCAATGCCAGGCCAAAGAGATTTTGTTAGCGTAAAGAAAGGAAATAAGAGGTTAGCTGTTCAGAAAAGATTGTTAATGATGACATTGAGAGAAGCTTTTAATCGCTTTAATGAAATGTACGTCAATGAAAAAATAGGGTTTTCATCATTTGCAAGCCTCCGGCCAAGGCAATGTAAACTATTGACTATCACAGGAACACATAATGTTTGCGTTTGCACTACGCATGAAAATGTCAATTTAATTCTACATAGCATAAAAAAATACAATGTCTTGAATGATCTAAAAACATTAACGAATAGATTACTTTGCGAAAATAAGACAACTCATTGCCATCTACGAAGATGTAAAAACTGCCCAGATACCTCAGTTTTAGAAGACAGTTTATTGAAACAACTGGAAGAAAACTTTGTTGAAAAGCTTTCATTCGAACAATGGGTTACCACTGACAGATGTGATTTAGAAACTATTGTAAAGCAAACCGATGAGTTTGTTTCATTTTTCAGCTCAAAATTAGAAAGTTTGATTCTGCATGATTTTGTAAAAACCGAACAATCCAATTTTTTGAAAACTACACAACAAAACTTGCAAGATGGTGAATTTTTAGCTATTTGTGACTTTTCTGAAAATTACAGCTTCGTTTTGCAGGATGAAGTTCAATCACACCATTGGAACGTGCAACAGGCCACAATCCATCCTTTCGTAATATATTATACTGAAAATATGCAAATTAAACATTTTAGCTTCATTATAATTTCTGAAGAACTAAGACATGATTCAGTCACTGTCAATTTGTTTATTGGTAAAATGATAAACTTTTTACAAATTGATCAAAATAAAAACATAAAAAAAAATTATTTTATGTCAGATGGTGCTGCTTCACAGCATAAAAACCGAAAAAACTTTTCTAGCCTTTGTAAATTTAAGTCAAAGTATGGTATTGACGCTGAATGGCATTTCTTCGCAACATCGCACGGAAAAGGTCCATGCGATGCTATTGGAGGTACGATAAAACGCATGGCTACCAGAGCAAGTTTAGCCAAAGAACGCGAACACCCGATAAAGACTGTAAGAGAGTTGTTTAATTGGGCAAACAAACGAAAAGAAGAAGAACTTACAAAGTTGTCATTTTGTTATTCTACTACAGAAGAATACGAAAATAT